GAATTTAGAGCCACGTGGTTCCGCTAAAAGCCCGTTAAAATTTTAGCGGAACGGTGGCATGCGAATAGCAAACTTTCATCTTTGCTAGCAATGTTGAATGTCGCATTTCAGCAAGCAACGCTTTCACCTGAACGCTGATGCTAGCCGCCGCGCAATGCGAGGTATTACTGGACGGACAGATGCAGTGAACCAATGATGTCATATGTCGTGCATACGCGTCTTGAAACCTGGTCAATTCGACCAAGTTAAACCGGCGCCGCCGGAGAGTAGAGAAAGAGCCGTCCGATGAAACAAAGTATAGTGATCGACGGTGGCCACTTTCATGTTACCATGGTTCTGAAGTGGTCCGGTTTGGCGAACCTAGCTTATAATGTGAGTAACAGATTCCAGAACGCAACCTCCAATCATTGTGTCGACATCCAGGACGGTCGGCATTCACTTCCGTCCTGCAGCCTGCTGCCCGGCGCCCAGTACCGAGCTTGCTGTGCTCTGAGCTGGTCAGCTGGACGGTGGACCTGTACGAGGCCTCATGTAGTAGCCACGAAGCAGCGACCACTGAAGCTGATCCTTGCCCAAGCAATGATACACGTTTACACATTTCGTTGTTATGCATGATGCATGATGCACTATCAACCCGCCTGTCGATATCAAAGGAGACCGCGCTCCGAAATGGAGCTAAGAATCGGCTAGGAGAAATGGCCATTGGTCTGAATTATCATCTCTGATGGGAGGAACGGTTTACTGAAAAGTATGGGTGGTCCATAGCATTGGATCAGGAAATGATCAGGGGCGGCCCTTTATTGCGGACATCCAATTTGGCACTTCTTTCGAAGAGCCGCAAGCCCTTCTTAGGATCAAAATCTGTAAGGTCTAGCTTATGCAAATGGTAGAGTATCTCCAAGCAGCTTGTCAACTTGGAGAAAATTGTCCGTACAGTCCGATTTCAATTCCCTTTCAAGAGAAATATGTCTACTTGCAAATGCATTTTGTCTAATTATATGATGATTTTCTTTGGTCTCACTTTCCAAGGGCTGTCAGATCCTATTTGAGTCCAGGCGCCATGGGCTTCTCCTACGTACAATCCTATAAGCTTCTGCGGCACTATTCTGCCAGATGCAGATACCGCAATTGATTGGTTTGAAGTTGACGGATCGTACGCTTAAATCAGAATTTGTGCATGATTTCTTGGTCGACAGATGAGCCCTTCCAGCTTATGGACGAAGTGCGGCTTGAGCTGATATTCAGTCTTCTGATGTGCTGACGTATCTTTATGCGATGGTGACAATGTGAACCTTCGAGCCTGTTTTTGCCTGTAAGTGGCAATACCTTACGCGGTACTCAATCTACGGTCCGAGCAGAAAGGCTTGTGCACAAGGCGAGGAAGCCTTGAGCTCTATTTACCATGCAAGAACGTCATCACGCAATTTGGCCCGAAGGTCCAGGATAAGGGCTAAGATCGTGCCAGCGGCACTAACGCCAGAAACCGAACGCCCAGGAAACCAGACCGCAGTATCGAAAATGCGCGGTGCATTTGGATAAGGGAACTTGAAGTTCATAATGTTGCGATGCTGTTCAACGGATTGTGCGATTGGCCCTTAAAGACTGAACGCGGTCACTATGCACGCCATGATGCCACCTTGGAGTCGCCTTGATCAACAGTTACCAAACCAGCAATTACCAGACGGTGGCTTATCGCCGCAGTACTACGAACACGTACAATCCCCCTCAGCCCGTCCGATGCTCAAATCTATCTCTGGGCCGCAACCTCTGTCTGCTATACCGGGATTTGCAATGCGTGTGGTCAATGATAAGCGACGGCATTAGGCAAAATATATGGAAAACATTCTGCCCAACGTCTGTTGTTGGTAATCTTCATATCCGCAACTAGGGGGCTTCACCCTGGCTGATTATCTTGTGCAGCGACTTGACTGTGGGTATTGGTCTGTCCGGACGCCAGAGCAAAGGTCTCCAGTGGACCAGTTGGGTTCCGCCAACATTCGCTATGCGGAACCTCTTAGAGTGGAATCGACCAGCCCTTGTCCGCCAGCAAGCCTGGTTGAGAAGCAACTTGACAGCTTTCGGCCATCTTGCCGCAACGAAAACAAAACCTCAGCGGATCTTCAACGGAACGAGTGGCATCCCTAGTGCAAGCTTTCCCAACAGTTTCGGCACCGCACTCCAGCAGGAGATAGCTGGGGCTCGTGCAGTGTTTGCAGAATTCGATGAAGGAGAAGGCAGCAACGGAACCGCGGCGGAACGGCGGAGCCAAGCAGCGGAGAAGTGAGCAGGGGTCACTGCTTCCGCCCAATGCCACGGGGGTCAAACAGAAAGATCCCCCGCTAGAGGTGAGTAGAGGTTGACGTCGAGCCGGGGGGCGACAAAAGAGGCGGAAGGCCTAGGCGGCAAGGATTTTGATGATGAAGGCATGAGGAACAGTTTGGGGCGGACGTTTTCGACGTGGAAAGC